GGAGGGGATGGGAGAGAGGGAGGGGATGGGGAGGGATGGAGGGGATGGGGAGGGATGGAGGAGTTTGGAGAGAGATGGAGGGCTGGGGGAGAGATGGAGGGTTGGGGGGAGATGGGTTTGCCCCTCCCCAGCTCTGACCTTGCTCGTGCTGCAGCCACCTGCGCTCCAGGTAGTAGCTGTAGCAGCTCTCGAACTCCCTGGGGCTGTAATTTGGGACTGGGATGGGCACAAAGGGGTCCAAGGCATCGAAGCCCTCCTGGGGAGGGGAGGGAGGTCACTCGGGGTCAGTGCTCAAAAAAACCTCAAACAGCTCAGTCATGGAGGTGTGGATATCCAGAGTTGGGAGGGACACACAGGGATCACCCAGTCCAGCTCCTGAGACACCCCAAAAATCCCATCCTGTGCCTGGGAGCGGTGTCCAAACTCCCCTGGGGCTGTGACATTCCCTGTTCCGTGCCCAGCACCCTCTGGAAGAAGATACCCAGCCCAACCCTGCCCTGACACAGCTCCAGAAATCCCCCGGGTCCTGTCCGGGTCACAGAGGTCCGAGCTGCCCCTCCCGAGGAGCTGCAGGTCCCCGAGGTCTCCTTCAGGCTCTTCTCCAGCTGCACAGAAATGCCCTCGGATGCTCCTCATCCTCCAGAGCCTTCACCATCCTCGTGTCCCTCCTTTGGGCACTCCCCAGCAGCCTCAGACCTTTCACAGATGCTGATGCCCAAGTCCCTGCCTCGCCCCTGTGCCTGGCACACCCCAGGACACTTTTGGCTCCCCTGGCTGTCAGGGCACTGCTGACCCAAAGGTGGCTGTGATCCAAACCCTGAACAGCGTCCCCTTGAGCAGAACCAAGATTTTTGTTTGTTTCCCAATGTGAAGAGGGGAAAAAAAACCCAAAATAAATAAAAAAATCCCAACATAATTCACCTTTCCCAGCAGCTCCTGGGGAGTGTAGGCTGAGCTGGGTTTGAAGAGCGAGCCAGTCTGGCTCAGGGTGGTCACGATGGCACCTCCACTCTGGAACGCAGATCAGAAATAAAATAAGCTGCAAACCCAGTGCTAATTAGTTTAGGATCAACCCCTGAGGCATCTTTTTCTTGGAAAATGGAACTGCTGGAGCAAGTCCAGAGGAGCCCCTCTGCTCTGGAGCTCACCTGGAGAGGAGCAGCTCCAGGGAGAGCTCAGAGCTCCTGCCAGGGCTGGAGAGGGGCTGGGGACAAGGGATGGAGGGGCAGGACAAGGGGAGATGGTTTCACAGTAACAGGGCGTGGATAGATGGGATTTTGGGAAGGAATTCCTGGCTGTGAGCTTGAGGAGGTGCCCAGAGAAGCTGTGGCTGTCCCTGGATCCCTGGAAGTGCCCAAGGCCAGGTTGGATGGGACTGGGAGCAGCCTGGGACAGCAGAAGCTGTCCCTGCCCACAGCAGGGGTGGGACTGAGTGGGCTTTAAGATCCCATTTTGGGATCTGGATTCTTCAAAAATTCTACAAAGATTAACTTTTTACCATGCTCCTGACCACACTCATCCTGGCTGCTCCAAGTCCATGAGAGCACCGGGGAAAATAAAATAAATACACAGCTCATGTTCCCAGGGCTGGCATTAAAATTTCTTACCTATAATGGGTTTTTTATGCCAACAATTGAAATACTTTAAAATGGATTTTCCTATATACCTTTCAATCTGCAGCCTACTCGTTCTAGTTCTGAGCATCCAGGGGATTGAAAAAGCAGCAGGAGGAGCAAAATGTTCAGAAACCAGAAATTTTCATGAGCTCAAAGAACTCAAACTGTCCCAAGGGTATCAAACACCCCCAGCTCAGGGTCCTCCAGCAGAGCTTGGCAGGGGAATCAGGAGATGCTGCCACAGATTCCAGCTGCCCTCATTCTCCTCAGGTGGTGTCACACTGCTGCCAAGTCTGTGCTCTCCTGGACTCGTGGTTTTGGGTTTGTGGCAGATTTAATTGCTGGGATTGAAGTGCTGGGACAGAGAGGGGCAAAGAGCAGAGCTTGGAACTCACCCAGTCGTTCTTCACCATCTTCCTCAGGTTGTGCACGAGCGTCAGCTCCTCCGGAGAGACCTGGTGGAGATGGGCTGCATCACTATTTCATTTTCAGCAGCTTTTCTCTGAGACACAAATTCCCCTCCCCTCCTCCCAGTGAGGCTGGGATTGTTTCTATCTTTCAGGTTTTTTTTCTTTGCTTTCCCTTCACCCTGCAGCATCGAGCCTGAGTCAAGCTGCACTGAGCAACACCCAGGCCCTGCCTCTGCAACACCCACCTGCACTTCTGCCCCAGGGAGAAATGCAGTAAAAAATTGTCTAAAGCACAACCTGAAGCTTTCAGGCCCCTCCAAAGCCTGGACGTTTTCAGGGATTGCCACAGAAATAAAACTGAACCAAACAGCCTCCCTGCAGCAGGAATCAGGGATGTCCCCAGGGCAGAGCTCTGGGGGAATGATGAGGGGGGAATGATGCCTTAGGATTTTAGCTTTCATAATTTTTATATATTTTTCTATTTTTTAAATATTTTAAATTTTTTTCTATATTTATAATCCTGCAATTCTTTGTTGTATAACTCTAAATTCCATAGACAATGCTAACTACAGCTTTCCCATTTTGGTCAGACACAACAATCCCTCTCCAGGCCTGGGAATCAAGGACACCTCACTGCCTTAGGCCTTGAAAAATATAAACAAAAGTGAATTGAGAGAAGCAAACTTGGGGTAAATGACTTCATTACCTAAAGCTGGAATTGGAAGATTAACCCCCAATATGCAAATGGGCCAAAAAGTATAAAAACCTGTGACCCATCATCCATTTTTTGGGTGTAGCCCAAAAACCTGAAGGCATTTCAATAAGTAGAATTGCTTTTATTCCTTTAGTTTTTTCTGGCCTCTGTTGTTAGGTAGCCCAATCTGTGGAAGAGGTTTCACAGTGAATTCTGTGAGCAGAGAGAAGTTTGATGAGAGGATCCATGTTTACACCTGAAAGAATTTCCTATCAAGGTTGACAACATAGAAACCAAGAAAAAAAAAAGGATAAATAAGAGAAATCTATTCCAATGAGCACTTTTTTTGTGTTTCCTGAGCAATGAGTGAAGTGTAAACTTATGAGTTTTGTAAGAATGTAGAAAAATTTAAGCCTTCTGAAAATGGAGTGTGCTGCTTTGTATTGTCTCTGTCCCAACTACGACAAAGCCATGGAAAATATTTCTGTAATTCATTTTGTGCTTGGATGTTGGAGATGAAAACACTGGAATGCAAGCTGCCTGAGGTGGAAAACTCAAACTCTTCTGCTGCTGCTCTGGGTGGTTGGCTCATCTCTTTTGGATGCTGAAAACAACAGCAAGGTGCAGGAGTTCCTGCACTCTGCTCCCAAGAGGAAAACATCAAAATCACCAATGGATCTAAAGTGTAAACTGAGTTTTGTAAAAGCATGCTAGAATAAAAACCAGCTTTGAGGCAGCCTGAACAGGGAGTGTTGCTTGCTCTTGTGACTGTCCCAGCTACAAGAGGCATCATCCTCACAGGGTTCTTGTCACAGCCCAAAAAGGAATCTGTGGAAGAGGTTTCACAGTGAATTCTGTGAGCAGAGAGAAGTTTGATGAGAGGATCCATGCTTACACCTGAAAGAATTTCCTATCAAGGTTGACAACATAGAAACCAAGAAAGAAAAAAGGATAAATAAGAGAAATCTATTCCAACGAGCACTTTTTTTGTGTTTCCTGAGCAATGAGTGAAGCGTAAATTTGTTAGTTCTGTAAGAATGTAGAAAAAGCATGCTAGAATAAAACCAGCTTTGAGGCAGCCTGAACAGGGAGCGTCGCTTGCTCTTGTGACTGTCCCAGCTACAAGAGGCACCGTCCTCACCGGGCTCTTGTCCTCCCTGCTCAGCGTGGTCCTTCCCCAGAGCGCGTTGACGCCGTCCACGGCCACCAGGAGCCGGAAGGAGCCGCGGTGGCTCTGCTGCCTGAGCTCCCTCAGCACCACCCCCAGGGCGTCGCTGGCGCTCCTGACCCGAGCCAGGCCCTGCGGGGAGCACAAGGAGCACAGCTCAGCCTGTGCCTGACCCAGCACGAAAGATTCAGCAAGCTCTGTTTGCCACCTGGCAGAGCTGGGGCAGCTCTCTGCTGTTCATGGGGCAGTTTTTTATTTATCTCTCCCACCACCAGTCCTCCCTCCAGGAGATCTCTTCTGTTCATTATTTATTTATTATCTCCTGTTCATGGGCCATTAATTATTAATTATCTCCTGTTCATTGGCCCTGCATGGCTGATGAAATTCCACCACCCCATGGGGAGATGCTCTGCCCAGGGGGAGGAGCCAAGAATTCCTACTTGGATATAATCTGGGATTTTGGGACACCAGAACAGCTTTTCCCACTGCATTCCCAGAGGAGCAGCTTTCTTCCCCCTGCATTCCCAGAGGAGGAGCTTCCTTCCCCACTGCATTCCCAGAGGAAGCCCAGGCCCATCTCCAGCACCCCTGGAGCTTCAGAGCAAAAATCCACCCTCCTACAGGATCCCTGCTTCAATAAAATCACATTTGTCACCCAAAAAAAAAAAAAAAAACAAAACCAACCAACCAAACAAACAAAAAAACCTACTACAGCCACCATTTAATGGCACTGCTGCCACCACCCTGACCCACAGGTGTCAGGGCAGATTCTGACTCTGTCAATATATTTTTTTCATTATTATTACATTTGTATTTGTAGCCTTCCTGGTAAAGAACTGTTATGCCTACTCCCATCTTTGCCTGTGAGCTTTTTAATTTCAAAATTGTAATAATTCAAAAGGAGGGGGTTTACATTTTCCCTTTCCGGGAAGGATCCTGCTTGTCAAACCAAGAGAATTTCTTGCTAGGGGGTGACTTTTGGGCAGCCCTTCCAGGGGAAGACAAACTGACAGTCAACAACCTCTTCCAAGAGCAGTGTGAGCATCAAAACATGGGAACTTCTAATTCTAACTTTGTCTTCTATCCAAATTCTCTGTACAATTTTCTTTACAGATCCTCCACAACATCTTTTGTTGATAGGGAGACACTTTCTATTTCCCAGGACTCGTATCTCGAAGATCTTTAGGAACAATCTGTTCCAAAAACTCTGGTGCAAGGTGAGACCACACCAGCAGCAGGGGCTGCTCCTTACCTGCTCCACCACTTCCCTCAAAGGTCTGCCCTCCTCTGTGCTTTCTCTTTTGCCCCACGTGTATTTTTTTTGTGTTTTTATCTGTGGGAAGAAAACTAGGATGAGATTTGGGGATGATAGGAGGCAAAGCAAGGCTGGATTGCAGAATCTGGGAGGAGTATCCACCCAGCACCAGCCATCCTCACGGAGAGGATGGATCTAAACTGCTTTTCCTACAGCAGCTGAGAGTGGTGGGTGGGGTTTGCAGCCACAAACCTCCTGCAGGAAACGTTCATTGGAGGTTTTGAAGTTCTTGAGCCACACTGAGGCCTGCAGAGGCTGATCCAGCCGGTCTTTGTTGTAGGAAGACTGAAAAAGCTCCTTGCAGTTCTTCACCCAGAGATGAGCTGTGAGCAAAATAAAACAGTTGTTTTGAATTTTTTGGGGTTTTTTAGTCAAAATAATGTTAGGAGGTGGGGATGGTAGGGGTGTTTGTGTTGTGTCTGCAGCTCTGGTAAGGGAAGTCACAGAATCATGGAATGGTTTGGGTTGGGAGGGACCTTGAAGATGAACCAGTCCCACCCCCTGCCATGGCAGGGACACCTTCCAGCATCCCAGGGAGCTCCAAGCCCCATCCACCCCGGCCTTGGACACTGCCAGGGACCCAGGGGCATCCTCAGCTCCTCGGGGCCTCCCCACCCTCACAGGGAGGAATTCTTCCCAACATCCCACCTATCCCTGCCCTCTGGCAGTGGGAGGCCATTCCCCCTTGTAAACAACCTCTCTCCGTTCTTCTTCTAGTCCCTTTAGGTCCTGGAAGGCCACAAAAAGGTAAACCCAGAGCCTTTTTCTTCTCCAGGCTGAACAATCCCAATTCTCACAGCAGAGCTGCTCCCCTGATCCCTCTGATCATCCTGGTGCCCCCTCTGCCTCCATTTCCACAGGGAATGTTGCTGTGGGGCACCCCAGAGGTGGTGCAGCTCCGTCCTTCCTGGAGATCTCTCCCTTGGGATCAGAGGAGGCCACACACACCCAAACAATCTCTTCCCAATGGAGAAAACCACCCCGGCCCACAGAACGTGTGAGCAGGTGAAAATAACTAATTATGCTCTGTTTTATTGGGGGGGTTTGTGTTTTATGAGCTTTTTCCACTAGAGAAAAACAAGGATAGATTGTGGTGGGACATCCTACAGCTCCTGAAGCAGCTGTTTGGGTGTTTGGTGTGGATATCCTACAGCTCCTGAAGCAGCTGATTTTGGTGTTTGGTTTGGGATATCCTACAGCTCCTGAAGCAGCTGATTTTGGTGTTTGGTGTGGGA